AGCGGGGCCGGACCCGGGGAGTTTTTTAACTTCCACGAGAACAAAGTGAACGCTGTGAACGGGCACCACCAGCCGCCGCACCTGGCGCGCAGCACCCACCCGCAGCCGGCGTCTCCCCAGCAGCACCAGTACCACCCGGGCCGCAGGAAACGGGAGAATAAAGCCAGCACCTATGGGATGAATTACCTGCTCTCGGGCAGCCGCGGCGTCGCCGTCAACAACTCCCCGCACCAGCAGCGGCAGCGCCTCAGCCGGGCGCTTCAGAGCCCCGGCATCCTTGGAAGACCAGGAAATACAGTCCCGGCGTTGCAGGGGGTTGAGCAGCCGTGGGCCCCTGGGCTGCTGCAGCCCAGAGGGAAGGGGGCCTCGTCCACCTCTGCTGGGGCGCCTTCGAGCTCGGGGGCGTTGGGTTGGGGTCACATGAACTCCTCTGGAGCCGGCCGCCACAGCGAGGCCAAGGGTAGGAGGCGGCGGGGCACAAACCCATGCTCTTTCATAAATCACCGTGCTCTTTTATAAATCACCTTGCTCTATGCCGGCCGGGTGGCTCCTGGACGAAGTAGCGATTCGGACAGGACCAGGGAAGCCATGGATACAGGGGGTTAGGCCTTGCTTTGTAGTAGGTTGAGAGGTGAAATTGCCAGGCCAATATCAGAGGTCACCTACAATAAATAAAGCAAGGATGGGTGAGGGATGCTTGTTAAAACTCCCAGGGGCAAATCCATATTGTAAGGGAAAAGTGGAAGGCTTCAGTTCAGTGGAAATCAAAGAACACTTGTTTACTCATTTTTAAATGCCTCTGCTTAGGCTGTAGCAAACTGGTTAGCTCAAGGAGTGTTAGGAACATCACTTGAAAAGGAGGTGCTGAGTTCTGTCTGAAATAAGCATGAAAGTCGTTGTGGTCTTAAAACATGTCTCTCAAGTGTGTTCTAGTGCTAGCATGGGTTGAGCCAGCCAGTATTTGAACTGAAATCTTGTCTTTCGAAAGAGACCACTTTTATGAAGTTTACCCTATCCTGTGGCCATACCTTTCTCATATAAATAGGTGGGTGGTAAGGCCGAGTATTCAACTTGATCTTATTGGCATGGAGAAGGGACTAAACTTGAACAAAGCCCCTCTGGGACGCTCAGTGTGCTTGCTATATTTCACCTGTCAAATTTCATTCAGTCAAGGCAAAATGTTGCTTTCTAACATTAAGGTTATTTTATTCTTGGAAAAAGAATGCCTTGACTGACCATAGCAGATTTCTGATGTCACTTCAAAAATAGTTTCTTGCAACTCCTAAAATCCAAGACCCTTGGATACCTGTGGAGTAAAGGCACTGCATATTTGTATAGGGGAAATAGCTAAAGATAATAGGATGCCCTTTGAGAACTGGGAATTTTTAAGTGAGAGATTTAACTTAAGAACAGCGTCTTCCTTTTCTCTTTTGTGTGCTACTGTCAGGTGTTGAGTACACTAAAGTTATTCTGAAGTATTAAAAGATATTTTTAAAGTTCTGATTTTGTAAACCAAGGCTTCTCCTAGGAAGGACAAGACTTGTGACTGCTGCTTTTTAATTCCAGACTGACACTGCAAATTCAAATTACTTACAGGAAGCTAGAATTGGAATCTTTAAGAGGGTTCTTATGCTTGGAGCACTGGGCCCTATACTATATATTCAGATGTACGTCTAAAATTCCAGCAGTATCTTGAAAATAGTGTGAATTTTTTGTTTTATTTTCAAAGAGATGCAGTAGACCTCTGAGTTAATTTTTTAATTTATCAGTGTAAGACAAGTCAATGTCAGTGAGGCAGATCTCCAGGCAGGCAGAGGAGGGAGCTGCCTAAGGTCACCCAGCAGATCTGTGGCAAACCTGGGAATCAAATCCAGGCATTGCAGGTTCTGTCCTGTAGTTGTTAGGCAGCACCACCTATGCCAATCATATGGATTTACGTTTAATCTTTTACCCTTTTGTTTTCTGTTAGCTTTCCTTTAATATTGGTTATGCCACTCTTCAAGTATAACTTTATAGAGAATCCATACATGAGAAAATTGTTTAGCTGAGATCCAATTGCATTGTTCAGTTCTGTAAACACGGGTAGTTCTTTTGCTGATATGTTAGTGAGAAGTCTTGCTAAAAAGCTTTGAAAGTGGAAGGTGTGTTTCCTGATCTTCTTTCAAGGATCTGTGTTACTACAGTGGGACCTGATTCTAGGAGTGGGGTATCAGTAACCTACAGCATATGTGATCCTGTAGTTCCAGAGCTTTCCTTAAAGTAGCAGGGAGCTAGTGCTGAAAGAGAGCATCAGTGTTGAAACCACAGACCTAATATGAGAAGCAGTTTCTGCCTTAGAGTTCTGTTACCCAAGGTGAATCTTGGACAAGTGTGTATTCTAGAACAATTTTCTGTTTGGTGCTACTAATTTTTTGTGAATTACTTATATGATTTAAATAAGAATACTGTCACTGATAGGGTGGATTTAGGTATCTATCTTCTGTAGTAAGTCATGACTACTGGTGAGTTTAACATAATTTTCCTAAAGCCTGACTGGTGTAGGCGATGCAAATAAAAATTACAGTGAAAAGGCTGGAGTGGGAACAGATCCCTGCAGGACTTTGTTGTGGGTCCTTTATATTCCTGTTTAGCTGCCTGCTGTTCCTTGGAACTGTCAGCCTGGTCCTGAAGCATCACTTCGATATCTCATGACCTATTGATAGAGCATCTTCGGTGGTGCCAAACTGGTGTATTCAACTGTTGACAAATGTAATCCTTAAAATCTTCAGTTGCAATCTGGTTTGGGCATCAATTATAGGAAGAAACACTTGATCATAGATGCTATTAGCTTACACTATGCATGAATGGTAGAGCTTATTCTGCTGTGAGTATTGCTATCAAATGAATGTTTTTCTGCAACATGCTGAAATTTCCAAGTAATATACAGTAGCTCACGGTGTTACCGTGTTGTCTTTTGGTAACAGGCTAAGAAGGGTAATCTCTGTTTGCCCTCTCCCAGGCTGCAACAGTACTTTTGATGAATCGTTTGCGTGCTTTGAAACAGTACTGTGCTCTCTCTACTTTTGCATTCAGAGCTGGAGATGGTCTGTAGCAGTGCAAGTCATCGTAGTTTTTTCTCAAGTTGCTCATAGTCAGTGGCTTTGTGATGGTAAGTGTGGTGATGTTTAGGAACTTTGTATGCTATAAAGTCAGTGTTTTGCTCTGTTTTTATACAGCATTCCTTTTCTTCCAGTGGACTCATGCTTTCAGCACTTTTTGACAGCAGCATGGCGATCTTTGAAAAGGAAATTTTCTTATAAAACACAAGTGTGAGTAGCTGTGCTTGATTAGACTTCATCCTAAAGCTATACTTTTAGATGCCCTAGATTGTTCTGTGTCATGCTTTTACAGAATTTTGGAAGGTAAGGTGTGAGGAGATTGAAGCACTGGAATAATATGGCTTCAGCAGAGTGATTAATACGGCAAAAGTGCAAATTCCTATATGCCTGGGTTTAGTTTAGGACTACAGATGACAAAATAATTGTTTTCAGATGCAAGGCAGAGAAGTTTTCTTTAATATTATGAGGTTAGTTCATACTATTGTGACTGATGTTCAGAGCTACATGTTGTTTCTTGGTACTGTGAAATATTCTCTTGTGTGGTTTAAAGCTATGCTTAACATCTTAGGGTCTGAATTCTTTGTTAAGCAAATACCTCCTGTTTCTGTAAAGACAGTATCTTAAATATAAGCATCCAGAGAGTTTAAAGGTGCTCAAATTTTATTTCATAATATGGCATCAAGCTATTCTAAACTTTTTACTAAGGACTCACAGGTCCCACATTTGGACACAGAGCTAATAAGAGTGCTTTCTCATAAGATGTAGTGAATAACTTATGAATCGTATAAAATCATATCAGATTTAATTATTTTGTTCCTTAGTATGAATTTAATTAATTAAGTAAAGAATTAAAGCATTTTTAACAGTATGAGACTGTTCTGCTTAATGCTTTCAACTAAATGTTGAGACTAATTGTAGATGTTGAATGCGATTAGCAGTGAAATACCTGGCATATCTGCTTGGCACATTACAGTGCTGTGCAGAAACAACAGAACTGGCTTGTTGAGGATTAGTTTGGGTACCAGAACTGTTATGATATGTTGGAATGGTGCTCTGCCTGGACTAATTAGTGTTGCATAGTGTCTGATGACTTACTGCATTCGTTTTTCGCCCTACATAGCTGGTTGTCTTTAATCATCTCTTGATAATGACACAGAAATTCTGCTGTAGAGCACAAGAGTGCAAAGACCTCTGCATTTCCTTAGGCTGAAGGAGGATTCAGACCAGCATTCCCTGATGACCACAGCAGGTACCTGGGGAGAATTCTCATAAGCAAGGTAAGCTTATGACAATGCTTCCCCAGAAGACTTACTTTAGTGTTCACCAGTTTGCAGCTGAATGATGCTGTGTAAAAAAAAAAGTGATCTCTAGAGGTGTGGTGGTGCTACTGTATGCAAAGTCTGTATTAGGTTTTCTTTATTTCTTCACCTGTATGAAGTGTTTCTAATTCCCATCTTACAGGGTCTTCTGCTTTTTTAGTATATTGTTGAACTTTGACCAAGATAAATTAGGGGCTTGTCGAAGGCACTGTTAGAAATGCATTGCTTCAGGACCTTGCATAGCTTCAGTTGCGTGTTTGTCAACCCTTGCGTCTTATTATGCTGCTGTCAGAGCTGTCAGATGTAAACTAATGTGTAGGGATGCCACATTGTTAGCCCCTTTCGCAAATTTCGTTTTCTCGTGCTTTGAGCTGGAAGAATGTAGACTTTGGAACCTCTATGATGCCTTTAGTGTCTGCACTGGAGTGTCCAGCTTTTGTAAGGGCTTTAAGGGTTTCTCAAGGGTGGTTATTCTTAACTTATCCCCATAGTTAACAGTGTTGTCTTGCTCCAACACCTTCTGATAAAGAATCAACACAGTAGGCTATGCTTCATCCACACTGCTGTTAAATCCATGGTGTTTGCTGTCTCCAGTGTTAGGTGGGTGCCTGTAGTGGAGGCGTTAATGTAGGAGGCAGGTAGCACTGGTGCTGTACACTCAATTCTTGTTTTGTTTGACTACAAGATCAGGGCAGAACTAGGCAGTATATACCGTAGTATGCAATCCTTGCGTGGGAGTAGTTGGTTGTTAGTCACAGTAAATTTCTGGAGAGAGCAGCGGGATGTAGTTGAATGGATTGTTTTCATGCCTAGAGGCTGGTACACAGCAAAGTTCAAGGGTAGTTGCTGGATGAATATCAAAAGAACAGAACATCTGTTTTTTCTGTGGTCAAGT